GGACAGGTTCCAAAGCTACACAAAGAAACCTTATCTCAAAACAAAACAAAACAAAACCACATAAAAAACATATAAACTAAGAGTATGATCCATTACCTCTTCTAGCTTATAAATAAATCCTTGAATCTGTTGGTAAGCTGCTGCCGCTAGCCAATTTTGTTTTATCATAAAGAGCATTTGGATCAGTCACATAGTTTAACACAGCCCATGCCGTCCTAACCTCAGTACAACAGTGCATTGTGCTAGATGATGATTACAGAATGCCTTGCATGGAAAAGTGGGAGGGTCCATTTTGCTGTACTGTTTAATCATTTATTCCACGTGATGCACGTAGAATGCCTGTGCTGTTGGTTTTTGCCTTGGCCAGTGTCAATAGTAGCCATTTAAATGGTGACTCCGTACATTCGTGGGCAGATATCCGGGTCCTGGGGCAGAACCTGTTACTGACCCAAAGTCCCAGCAGGTTCAGCGCTCACTTTAACCCAAACTTTGAGTTACCTTTCCAGGAAGTTGTGACAAAGTCCTAGTCCTTTGTAAAGGTTCAAGCTGTATGACTCAGAGCCATTGAATGATGTTGTAAAGGCTTTCTGTTCATAAATGCTAGACCTGGAATCTGTACCCAGGACACCTACCCTACAAACCGAATTAGAATAAGAGTTTTACTTTGATTTATAAGTTCCCTATTTCAAAAGAAATGTTTGCATTGTACTAAATTGTGAGGACATCATTTTTGTTTGTTTTTGTTCTTCAAGACAGGGTTTCCTTGTACAGCCCTGGCTGTCCTGGGGCTAGCTCTGTAAACCAGGCTGGCCTCAAACTCACAGAGATATCTGTGCACAGCCCCCCCCATCTTCAGAGTGCCAGGATTAAAGTTGTGTGCCACCACTGCTGGGCAGGTCGTCATATTTTGATTCATCTTTGACCAGTATCCACAAACTCCCACCCTCACCCTGCCCTGGAGATTCTCAGGGTTTCATGGTGTCCACTGTGAAAAATCTAAGGACCTGCTTTTACAAACCATGCTCGCCCTCCATCAAGCTTAATCCCAGAAGAATACCAAATCACAGTAACAAGCAGATTTGAAAAATAAAAACACAACCAGTCTCTTCATTCAATATCAGTCATCAATTCCAAAACTCTCCGTAGGGCTCTTGGAATATGCAATCCATCCCAAGAGATCCCACAAGGCCATGTGGGGTCCAGGCCCAGGACACCCTGGGGAGGAATGCCCCTCCCAGATGTTAAGTAGAAAGTGAGGGAGGGGGAAATCAGTCACGTGGGGAAAGAGCAGATATCCTGAACAGGCTCAAAGTCCCAGAGTTCAGGGGTCTGCAGACTGAAGTAACTCCCTGGTAGGCTGGCAGGGTAGCTGAGTGCTGGGGGTGGGGAGGGGGCGGGAGAGAAGACACTCCACATCCCAGGCCTTGAGGAAAGCAAGCTTGAGTAAAAAGCTTTGCCTTTTTTACATATAGAAAAACATCAACAGCCTAAGCTGGAGGCAGAGGCAGGTGGATCTCTGTGAGTTCAAGGCCAGCCTGGTCTACAGAGCAGGTTCCAGGTCAGTCAGGGCTGTTAAACAGAGAAACTCTGTCTCAAAAAAACAAAATGAAGAGGAGGAGGAGAAAGGAAAAAGAAGAAGGAAACCAGCTTAGCATTCAGACATCTCTCTTCCTGAAGCCTGGCCTCCTCTCCGGGTTTCAGTGTGTGGTCATTGTAAATGGCTTCCCTCCTGCTCCTGTAGGTACCTTTTTTTTTTTTTCTTTATTGCAGCCAGACTGAGCAGATTAGAATAGACCATCTTAACTTTGATGAAGTCCTATTCATCGGCTCATTCATGATGCTGAGAGGGCTTTGTTTCTCACCCCCCACCCCCACGAGATTCGAATCTCTCTGTAATTCGGGACCTCGCATAGATGGGGGAGGGTTCATGAGGCCCACCCCTAACTGAGGAACCACTGACCATTGGTGGAGGGACAGTCCTCCTTCTCTGAGGGTGTGGCCACGTCCCCACGGGATGGTTGCATACCCTTGTAGTTATGAGCAGCCCTGACTTGACTCTGTGGGTTTAAAAAAAACTGAAGGACACAAAAGGCGAGGGGGACAGGGAGGAGTTGGAATAGGGAAATGTGTGTGTGTGTGTGTGTGTGTGTGTGTGTGTGTGTGTGTGTGTGATCATATTACATTATACACACATATAAGATTCTCAAAAAAAATCCTTACATAAGTAAAGACATGCTTGGCACAGCTGACTTAGGCTTCACCTAGACTAAGTACCCAGCTATTTTGGGGTGTATGTTAGGGGGTGCAAGTGAAATGGCCTCTGGGGGTGCCCCAGTGGAAGCTGCAGAGGTCTGGCTACCTTCTCCCCCACTGCCCACATTAATAGGCCTCTTTCCCTAGGAGAGAGAAGGCACATTTCGGAGGAGAGACGTCTTTATAGGAAGGTGGCAGGGTCACCTCTTGGGCCCCGTCTTCTCCTCCTGGTGCGTAGACTTCTCTAGCCACTATCATCCTGCTCTCCTGGGATCCCCTCAGGAGTGAGAACCAGTCAACAGAGACCCTCTGAGCCTATTCAAGAACTGCAAGAACCTTGCCCCAAGGCCCACAGAACACTGGTGGCTTCCCCAGCCTGTCTCTGTCTCTTCGCCCCGAAGCCCCGTTCTTTCCCGTTTTCTCTCTGGGTGCTGCCCCGTTGATCTGTGTTTGTGTGTTTGATCTGTGGCGTCCCTGGGAACTCTGGTGTCACAGCTGCTTCCCTGGCCCCACAGTTTCCCAACCTCCACCCAGAGAGGGCAGGCCCTCCCTTCTTTCCTGCCCTCCTTCCACCTGACAGGGACCATAAATAACAGAGGCTCCCGCGTTCCCAGCTGAGAACAAAGTTGAAAGTTTGCCTGCAGCTCCCCAGCCACTCCTGCTCCGGTCCATTCTTGGTTTTCTTCCAGTGTTTGTTTTTCCTCTACCTGGCTTGGCTGTTTCTTCACTTATATCTGAGGAAAGCCGTCTCCCAAGGCTCCCAACTGCACCAAGTGCCCTGGGCTCGCTCAGTCTCTTGCGAGGGTCCCAGTCACTCCAGCCGGCACTGGTATCAGGTTACTGAAAGTCTACACCCAGGCAGTCCTCATATTTACATACAAATAACTCCTGGGCTTGCATTTATGTCACTATTGGGTCCCGCAAGAGGCTTGCCAGAGCGTTCTTAATCCAATCAGAAGGCACTTTGAAAGGATGTCTGCAGAGTGATCAGAGGGATGTTCGTCGCTTCTAAGTGTTGCCACATGAAATTTTTTGAATGTTTCTGTCGGAGATTTTTTTTTAAATCTTCGGAGTCTAGAAATTGAGGGAAGATGTAAGGTTGCTCAGTTGCCTTCGAGGAGACGGGGATGCTGAGGGAAGCTCTGAGGCCCCGGTGAAGACAGACCTGACCAGGGAAGGGTTTGTTCAGGCTGTGTGGATTGGGGCCAGTGTGGACGGCTCACTCTCAACTTCTGCTTAAGGAATTCCTGGAAGCCTCAGGAAAGTACTCCTCAACCCAGCGTGGTGGAAATGGCTTTGCCACACAGTAAGATCTTTCTTTAATTCCCATTTGGCGTGTGCTGGTTTTGTTTCTGACAGAGAAATATTGCAAATATCCCCCTGCGGATACTTGGTTAAAGTAGTATGTCACTGAGTAGCAGCAGAAAGACGATCTGTTTAGTTTTCACATTTGGGAAAAAAAAAATCCAGTAGTTGCCGGTGTGTTTCAAGACCTGATTGGTTGCTAAAAAAGTTGAGCTCCTGTGGTTGAAATGAATGGAAATTGTAAGTAGTACTGAGTAAGGCTGTGAGCCGCTTACCTTGGAGAAAACCTATCTTATACGTTTGGAATCTCTTTGGGCCAGCCAGCTTGTATCTAGAAAGGGAAGAAAAGTAATTTTAGAAAGAGACCTGTTTTACCCGTGTAGAGGGAACTTTCTGCCGTCTGTGCTATGCTTTGGGAGTGATGGGAAACATCCCAGAGGGCAAAAGACGATTGAAAAACCTGCCCTGTTGCTCTTGGAATGTGGTTTTCCGCGTGAGCTCACTAGGCATACAGAGCTTGTAAGAGCAGTTTGCATGCATTAACTCTTTGTGCCGCTAGTCCGAGCGCCCCCATAACTATGGTCCCCCTTTCCTGCTCCAGGAGCCCAAACTCCATCTCTGTAGAAGGCAGAGTTGATTTGCTAGTAGACTTCAAGTGGTGGAACAGCAGGGCTGACTCCTGAATCTGATGGGTTTAGAAACAGTTCAAAACTAATGTTCTCCAAGGTCTCCCAGGCAAGCAGTTACAGCTCCCACCATGAACTCACAAAACTCAAGAGTAGATATGCCCCAAACCAAAATTCTGAGAGGACACCACCAACAACAAAATCTCTTTCCTGGGCAGGTGAGATAACTCAGCTGGTAAAAAGCGCTTGCCAAGCCCCTTGGCTGAGTTTGATCCCAGAACCCACATTAATGGAAGGAAAGAACTCACTCCCACAGGTTGTTTTCTGAACTCCACAGGTGCATTGTGGCATGTGTACACCAATGCACATAAGCAAATAAATAAATCACTAAATAAAGCCATTTCCTTCTCTCCCCTTTTTAAGAACAGTGTCAGAGACACGGGCCTGCCTTATTTTGCAAGCTGTGTCCATTCAAACAAGCTGCTCTCATCATGGGTTGTATGAGGAAAACTCACCTGGTTGATAAGCTCCATCTCTGTAATTAACTGAACCTGGGACGGGGGGGGGCAGGGAAGTATCAGGGGTCATGCTTACCGTTGATCATTAACACTAGTTGGGTTTGCTCCTTCAGTTGGCTCTGATATGGTGAACTAACCTCTTCCTCCTCTGTTTCTTTCTGGATGACATTAAAACAAAACAAAATGAAACCTACAGGGGCACCAGGGAAGGTCATGAGATAATGAAGGCAGTTTTCTCCATAATTGCTACACAGTCCAGAGGGAGGACTTTTGACTGTGATTTGCTCTCCATCTGCAGGTGAAGATGCCATCACAGGGGACACTGACAAGTATCTCGGGCCACAGGACCTTAAGGAACTGGGTGATGACTCCCTGCCAGCGGAGGGTTATGTGGGCTTCAGTCTCGGAGCCCGTTCTGCCAGGTATTTTGTTATTGCTCCCCACCCCCACCCCCAGAGGTCACTTGCAACATTCATGATCTGTCACGAGCCAGCATCCTTTCCATCTCCCTCATGGTTCCAGAGCGTGCTCTTTGGATGCAATGTGAATTTCGTGGAATGTTCTCGATGCAAACATACATGCTCCGCTATTTCCTTGTTGTTTGCTGCGCTTAGTCTCCTGTGACAGAACACACCAATCGTTTGTTATTCCAAGCATGCTACCAGATGAGCTCCCTGATAAACTGGAAAACCAGACTAGGTGTCATGTTTCAAAAGTAGCTTGCTCCATACTGGAAGAAATTTCTAGTTACAGATATGTAAGAAATTTGTGGATGGATTATTATTTGCTATACTTTGCTAGTGAAAAATTAATTCATGGGTTGATCGGCAGCACCCATGATGATAAAAAACAAACTATTACAACTGTCTGCATGCATAGACACTTGAGTTTTTTGCCATTAGTGTGTTGGTCAGGGGCCTCTTAGGAGTGTAACAGTGGCTTATCAAGACAGCAATGGGGCTGATCCAGTCCTTACGGCTGAAGCAGGGTAGCCTTGACTCCCAAGTCACTCAGTATGTAAAGGAAACAGGACCTTGTCCAGAAGGCTGGGAATTCTTTTCCCTGGTGTGGCTCAGTGGTATGTTTGCTGACTGTCAAGTTATTTTAAAGCTAATAATTAAACCTTCTAAGTGAGAGCCCTGAGGACATTTTCCTATAGTTTAGGAATCTGCTGTAAAAAGTTTCATTGTCTAATAGTAAATGGCACCTCCCACAGAGTAAACCTTGGGGTTTTTTCCCAGTGCGGTTGGTGAGAACAGTCTAGAAACTGCATTGCCTTTTTCTTGAGTTTGCCTTTTAAAAATAGAGCCTCAGCTAGCTTGGTAAACGTTTTTCTCTATAAACGGTCCCTAAAGGCTTGCAAACCTGATAGGAACAGGTGTCAGCAATGAGATAGAGATAGAAAGAGAGAGAGAGAGAGAGAGAGAGAGAGAGAGAGAGAGAGAGAGAGAGAGAGAGAGAGAGAGAGAGAGAGACTTTTAAAATGCACAGATACACAGTATTTCAATCACAGATTCTAAGAAGTTAAAACTAAAATGTAAAATGTCTGGGTCCTTCAAGGCTTCAAGGGTCTTGGTTCTTGTCTCTTGTGTAGAGTTGAGTACCATTTATACTCCTACAGTGAGCTGCTCTCTCCTTCCTCACAGTTTTTGAATAGATCCTTTGCAGAAAATTCTAGCCGCTCACTTCCAGTGAGCTATGAAATCTAAGTATCCTGATTTATTTTTTTGGTCTTAAGATAATTTTAAGGATTTCTTATTTCCAACCTGGACTATGCCATTATCTGTTACTGTTACATGTAAGTCATTTTTTTTCCCATATTGGCGACTCACGTTATGCTCAGAGGCAAATATTTCTTAAGGCATATTTTTGTAGCTATATTTTCAAATAATTACTATTTTAATGTTTCTACAGCATATCATTAGAGCTTTATCAAGTCAGTTATTCTGAGTGTAACATTTAAAGGGACATTCAATGTATGATTCATTCAACCATAACATTTGTTTTTTTTCTTTTTTTCCCTGTCTGATTTTTTTCTTTTACATTGTTTCTCCTGGTTTTATTATCTTTTTTTCCTAAAAATACCTTAAAATAGTCCCAAGATAAGGTAAGAAGATGTGGCGCTTTTGTGGTGTTACTCTGCCTGTCCCTGACCCGTGTTCCCATTTTTATTTTCTTCAGCATTTGTGCTGTGCTGTGCTATGCTGGCCTGCAATGTGCTTTTTAAATTTTGTTGTTGTTCTTTTCCTGCTCAACATTAGGAAATCAGTTATGATTGGGAAAGAAAAAAAAAACAATCTATGAAAAGAAATCTTACCTATATAATAGTAAATGGACACTTAAGGAATTGCTCTCAGCAAATTTTGTAGAGGCATGAGGGGACTGAAAAGGTCTTGTTGGATCTAAAGAAAATAGGCTGGTTTGTTTGTTGGCGACTGTTTGCTCGAGCTGTCCTAGACACCCTAGTAACATTTCAGTACCAGGAAGCATGTTTTCCTAACAGGCCCTGCATCTAACACTTAGGTTTCAAAGGTGGCTACAAATAATCTCTCTGACCTTGGTTTAAAAACCAACTCAAGGCTTTCTAGACTCCCTTGCTCAACACTCTTTGGTCCTGAGTGTACAGTGATGAATCAGAGAGTTGGAGTGACCCTTGGTAGATTTCCTGGGTTCAGCCACCTGATAGAAGGAAGCAGGTCTGGTCTGAAACAGTCCTCAGGAATCACAACTTGAAGCATTTCCGTAGCTAGCTTCAGGTCTGAGCTCTGTTCTGCTGCTGTCACTCACAGACAAACAAGGAAAGATGCTGGAGGATGATCCGCGAGTCTTAGATTTGAAAACCAAAAGGATCACGGATACGTAACCTCTCCTTAAAGGCTTTTTCAGTGTTTGCCTACATACAGTCCAGTTACGGCTTAACTTCAATGTATCCTGGAATGCGGGCCCTGCTCTGAAGAAACGCATGGTGTAGAAAGTATAAGGAACGGGACCTCCCAGGGCTCCTCAAATCATGTCGGTGAAGCCGTGTGTCCAGAAAAGACACTAGCAGATAGCTGAGCCACCTGTTAACCTTTCAATTCAAGGGTGTTAAATTTGGTACAATTTAAAGATCTGTTCTTCAGCTGTGATAGCCGCAGCCAGCCCAAGTGGCATCATATGAGGTTGGGAGCCACTGATTCTGCTCCAGCCCGGTACCATCCCTGAACAAAATCAGACGGTGTTGAAGGAAAGCGCTCACAGGAAGGACACTTCTGCGCAGGAGTAAGGGGAGAAACGCAACCGAAAGGAGGAGGAGAAAGAAAGCCTTCTGGGTCACATGACTGCCTGACTGTGCAGCCCTATGGCTTGCTGGGAGGCACCTATGTGCCTGGATCATGCTCGTCACACTCAGTAAATATTTGCTGAGCATGTTGGATAGTGACCTTGGAAATGACGGTTAGTTCTGAGTCAGAGCGATGAGCAGGAGATTCAGAGAAAGTTGAGACTCCGGTCCTGAAGGAACAACCCCTCCCCTTCTGTGAATAATGTGTAACATAGTAGGTAGTGGGGAGAGAGAGACCCTGATCTGCAAAGGGGCATGCATTCCTTGTTCTCTACACACACACACACACACACACACACACACACACACACAGAAAAGACAATACCACAATGTGACCGATTCAACTGGTGGCCATACCATTAAGTCCTACTTATACCCACTTTATCAGTTAAATGGGCAAAATTAAAACAAAAAACAAAAAGACCACCCTAACTTCCCTTGGTAGGGATGAGGGTTTCCTACACCCATGAGAACCCCAACATAAAGGGGTCAGTGGGTTTAATGCTAGTTGGAAACGTTTCACGGCTGGGGAACCATGTCTAGGCTTTACCCCAGCTCTTTCCCATCCTGTAGTCCTGCTTCATGAAAGGTCAGATGGGAAACCTTGTCACAAAGAGGTGACAGTGGAACATTCTTTTCTGACAGCCTTCCAGTTAAGGAACGTAGAGGGGAAATGACACTGGAGCTGTTCTTCATAGCCACCATCCTCCTTGTCTCCAGAGGATCATAATAAAGCCATTAACCCACGACTCAGATTAACGATAACCCAGGTCATCACATGACTTGTGTGGATAGATGCAGTCTTAACAGAGGTAACCTTTTAGAACAACCCTCCCACAGTCCCTTAATCTACTGGCTTTTAGTCTAAGAGTCGGTATAGGCAGAGTATGGGGGAACCTGGAAAATTCAGGGCCTTTCTATAGGAGTATCTAGAAAGGATACAAGTTAGCAAGAGTAAATAAGAAAAAAGTGGAGCCTAGGAACAACAGGATTTGAAGACAAGGAATGTGAATGTCTCCTGGAACACGACCAAGAAGTGCATGTGTCTATGTTTCTATTTTGCTTCTTGAAAAATGAGTGACAGCTCCAAACCAGAGCTCTTAGTATGCAAACCCGCAGCTGGCTTCCAACGATTTTCCAGCAGACCCCACCGCAGCAGTCACAGATCTAGCTAAGTATGACTGAAAGTCTTCCTCTTACACTCATGCTGGGGCTGGAGAGGTGGCTCAGTGGTTAAGACTCCGGCTGCTCTTCCAGAGGACCCACGTTCAATCCCAGGACCCAGGTTCAATCCCAGCACCCATGTGGCAGCTCACAACTGTCTGTAACTCCAGTTCCAAAGGATCCAACACCCTCACACAGACATGCATGCAGGCAAAACATGAATGCACACTAGATAAATAAGCAAGTAAATAAATATTAAGCTTTGAAAAAAAAGAAAAGAAACACTCATGTTACCTGGTAGAAGTTCTTTTCAATGCCATGCTGGTTTGGTGCCATTGAGGAGTACCAAAAGTCGCTGTGAGTTTCATCTCACAGAACTGGCCCGAATTGGCCAAATTTTAAAATCTTAGTCACGAAATTGAGCACATCTAAAAAAATTCTAATTTTTGGTGTCTTAATAAAAAAAGCACATTTGTTGGTATTTTTAGCCATCTTGCCTGTTCTTACAAGTTGCATGCGTTTATTTTCTTTCACCCATCCCATCGTCATCTCCTACTGTTGAATGGGTAACTGTAAACACAACAGCCTCCGCTCCTTCAGTTCGGATAGGTCATACACCTTGAACAGAAGCTCCTACGCGCGGGACAGCATGATGATCGAGGAACTTCTGGTACCATCCAAAGAGCAGGTATGCATTCTCGTTGTCCTTTGTTTGTCCAGGCTCTGGTCACATGCCTTGTTCTAGCAAGCTCTTGGTCCCTTAACAACAATAGCAGACACATGTACATATGCATATTTGATCTTGTATTTGTAAATTTGGGGTTACTATGTCATAATCAGAAATGTCTCTTTTTTTGCAAGCAACCCCCCTCCCCCCATATCCCACAGAGGGGAACTTGGGGCATCCTAGAAAAGGCACCTATACCTTTCTTGTGTCTAGGCCAAATGTATTTGCTGTTCAATTTGCTGACATTATTCACGTGAATATTTTCTAAGTGAAGTGTGTGTGTCCATTGAAAGTGGCGAGACTTGTATATAGCCAGCAGTCATAGATTAGATCAGATGTGCTTTTGATATGTCCTTTTCAGGGTTTCCCAAGGCAAAGCGGTATTTTCTGTTTTCCCAGAGTCTCTGCTGGATTCATTCAGTGTTTGTGCAGTTTCTTTTTGGTGCTTATGGTAGATTAGAGAGTGTGTGATGAGAGGCCCAAGCACACAGTCCTGCTGCATATGGACTGAGAATGGATTGCTCTTGAAAAATACACAGATACACACCATGCCTGGCTTCACATGTCCACAGTGGGGACCAGTGATAGATGAGACTGCATGGACTATAAACCAACTTAAAGGTAGCTTGTGATATTTGAACACTGTGAATCATTGGTGAAACTATGCCACACCTTCTCATTGCACAAGGTGGATGAATGACAGTCACACACACCCAAGCTAGAGTTTAGCGATAGGTGGTCAGCCCTTTGGAACTCCCACGTGTCTGGAGATGCTGATGTCAGGCCCACAGATGAGCATTGTACTTCACAATGACCCTCAGTGAATGTTACATTACACTATCTGGAACATTCTCAATAAGAGGGAAATGCAGAGGCAGATAGTGTCTGACGGGAAAGAAAAATGACCTTTGTAAAATGATCCTAGGTGCGGCATATGTCATGGGTTTTAGGTGGATGTAAGTTCAAGAGAGAGCCCTTATCTCCATAATAAAGCTAGGCTTTCGGGAGCCTGGTGTTGCCAGATATTGGTAGAGGTTTTCTAAGGAACTTAGTCTCATCCTGCTCTTTTCATGTTCCCAGTTAGAGGAGGCAATATATATATATTAATGTCGTACTTGGTGCCTTAGGGGAACCCCACAAGATGTTCAATGTTGCAGATTATAGGAAACACAGTGGAGGGACCAGACCGCTCCACAGTCATACAAGCCATATCGTGGACACCTCATTAAAATAGAACTATGGCCTACATTTGTTTCAAAGCAAGGGTCTGAAACCCAGGTGTTTTTCCACCATCAACATCAGCACCACTGTTACTGCCAACCACATCAGAATGAAAGTATAAAACAAGAAATAAATGCTCTCCATGCTCCTTGCTTCTGAGGGGGTTGCCTGTGAGTTGGTCCCAAGATGCATTCAGGTAGGATGGAGAAGCAGCATATACTCAGAACTGAGGGTCTGTGAAAACAAAGGAAAGGTCACCAGGATGAAGCTGGTACTCTTGGAGTCAGCTTCAATCTCGGAAACACCTGTGTCATGGTTCTCAACCTTCCTAGTGTCACAACCCTTTAATACAGTTCCTCATGTTGTGGTAACCCCCAACCATAACATTATTTTCATTGCTACTTTCATGACAGTAGTTTTGCTACTGTTATGAACCGTCATGTAACTATCTGTTTTGTGATGGTCTTAGGCAACCCCTGTGAGGAGGTGTCTAGGGGGTCTCGACCCACAGGTTGAGAACCACTGATCTACATGGCCATGTCTGCCATTCTCTAATCACCCAAAGAGACCACAGGACACCAGGAACCTTTAGGGGGGAAAAACGCAAACAAAATCGTGAGAATTGAAGAAATCAGAAGTTGTTTTCTTTACTGGCCACCTTGTTTAGTGAAGACCACTCAAGTCCAGGAACAATATAGGGGGGACATGTGAGTCATAAAATAATTTAAGGGTGCTTGGGAACACCTGTAAAGGTTTTGGATAGAGATGTGCACAGAGACATTAGTTTACTCACTGTGGTTCTGCCATCATCTAAGACATATTCTGGGGGAATGTGCCACCAAGTTTTCAGGAATGAACTAATTAGGCCAGCTACTTATTTCCCAATGGTTCATCTCTAGGGCAAATGAAACAAATTTGACAAGAGTATGTGTGGAATATTTTTATAGGTGTGGCTGAGTTACTGTTCTATTCCTGTGAAGAGACACCATGCCCAAGGCAACTTATAAAAGAAAGCATTTGAGTGGGGGTTTGCTTATAGTTTCAAAGGGTTAGTCCATGACCATTGTAGTGGCGAACATGGAGGCAAGCAGGCAGGCAGGCAGGTGTGGTGCTAGAGAAGTAACTGAGAGCTTAAATCTGGTCCGCAAACAGGTGGCAACGAGAGAGGCTGGGCTGGCATGGGCTTTTGAAACCTCAACCCCCACGCCCAGTCACACACTTCCTCCATTAAGGCCATAACTCCTTTTCAATAATTCTACCATCTGTGGACCAAGAATTCAAATATAGGAGCCCATGAGGGGCATTCTCATTCGTGTGTGTGTGTGTGTGTGTGTGTGTGTGTGTGTGTGTGTGTGTGTGTGTGCATGTGCTTGCTGAGGCCTGAGGTTGATGCTAGTTGATGTTGTCAGGTGTTTTCCTTGATTTCTCTCCCCTTTTTTTTTGTTGAGACAGTCTCTCCCTGAGCCAGAGGTCACCGATACGACTCCTCTGGCTTGTTTGCTTACTCCAGGGACCATTGTCTCTGCCTTCTGTGTGCTGGCATTGCAGGTGGTCACAAGCCTGCCTGGTTGGGGATCTGAACTCTGGTCCTCACACTTCCATAGCAAGGATTTATCCACAGAAGCCATATTCCCAACCCCCTCCCCCATCTTTTTATGTTTTTCAAATGTGAATTGTTGGATTTGGGCATGTGGATATTCTTTGTACCCTTTTTTAAAACTTTATTTGTGTAAACACTTTTAAAATGACATTTAAAAGGTGTGGGGGGGGCGATTTCTGAAAGTGTGGTAACTGTGGTGGAGGACAGGAAATGGCTGATTTTGGGAAGAACAGCCGCCTGAAAAGAAACCACTATTGCACTGTGCAAGCCTCATGGAAATGTCTACTGAAGTCCATGGGTGCATTTGAGTTAAAATCGAATGATCAAAAAAGAATAGTTTTGGAGTTGGAAAGGAGGCTCAGAGGATCATTGGCTGCATTTACAGAGGACCCATGTCCAATTTTTAGCACCCACACGGCATCACAACTATCTTACCTCCAGCTGCAGGGCATCCAATACCCTCTTCAGGCCACCACAGGCACTTGCCACAGCCGTGGTTCGAATGCATTCAGGTAAAACACACATATGGCACATGCCTTTAATCCCAGCACTCGGGAGGCAGAGGCAGGTGGTTCTCTGTGAGTTCGAGGCCAGGCTGGTCTACAAGAGCTAGTTCCAGGACAGCCTGCAAAGCCACAGAGAAACCCTGTCTTGAAAAACAACGACAACAACAACAAAACCCACATAGGTTATAAAAAGAAAATGATTGGTCTGTCTGTCACACCTCTAGCTCTGCATTTGCAGATTTCGAAAGATAACTTCTCCTGGGTCCTGTGCATCTGGGAAGCACGACACAAGATTTACACATTTAGCATTCCCAAGCCGCTGATCCCTGGCTTGCTATCAGGTTCACAGCAACTGATCTCTGCCTAGTTAGAATTTCTCTGACAGGTCAGGGTAGTAAATGGACACAGATTAACTCTGTGAACTTTCTCCTGAAGAACAGACCCTGCCCAGGGTTTAAAAGCCTCTGCTTTCTCATCCTGCTGACTAATACGTTTGCACATTAACCACAGTTAAAGTACAGTTGAGATACAGGTGACCAACCTAGGCCGCCACCCCTAAGGCTCCAGGATCTTAGTTTCTTTTCCGATTGCTTTCATGAAATACTCTTGACGCAAGCAGCTTAAGAGTATTTTATCTCACAGTTCAGAGTACAGCAGGAAAGTTGGAGCTTTTGAGGTACCGTCAGTAACATGGCGCCATGAGTGTGTGCGTGCTAGCGCTTGGCTCCCATTCTCCGCTGACAACAGTCTTGGATCCCTGCCCTGCGAAATGATCCTACCCACAATTAAGATGCGTCTTCCCACATCAATTAATTTAATCAAGATACCTTCTGCCTCCTAGTCATTCCTAGAGGCCCATCTCCCTGACAACTCTAGGTTTTCCTTCTTTCTTTCTTTTCCTTTTTTTGTTTTTGTTTTTTGAGGCAGGATTTCTCTGTGGCTTTTGGAAGCTGTCCTGGAACTAGCTCTTGTAGACTAGGCTGGTCTGGAACTCACAGAGATCCACCTGCCTCTGCCTCTTGAGTGCTGAGATTAAAGGCGTGCACCACCACCGCCCAGCTAAGAGAACTTTTAACACAGGGATTGCTCAGTTCCTAATCCAGTTGACCTGGGAGGGACCAGGCATGGGAATTTCAGTGCACCTCCAAGCTGAACGATTTGAGTGTTGCTGACTCAGGACTCTTCACTGCAGGTGTACAAAGCAATTGCTGTGCCTCCCTCAGAGACACCCCGTGTCTGGATCCTAGATGTGGGTGGTTTCTAAAGTGCCAAAGGTGGTCTTTACATGTCTGTCTAGCCAGGAAAAACTGACCATGGCATCTCTGACTGCATTCTGTGTTTCTGGTCCCAGCCCTCTACACCCACTTACTCGGATTACATCAGTACTGAGTATGCCTGGACTTCTGTCATTACGCCCTAAGCAAAAATGATGTAACCATAGCAATTACGTTGCAGGAGGTATTATACATATCTAGATACGGTTAAAAGTGCATGAGAGGCTATGTATAGATTTTATAATAATTCTGCAATCTTATGTAATGGACTTGAGCACCTGAAGATGAGTATTGGCTTCGGTAGGGATCCTGGAGTATCTCCTATGGGCAGCCATGTATTGACCAGTCATCCACTGTATT